TCTTCCTTAATTTTCATTTATAGTGTTTTGTAGTTTTGGGTGCCCAGTTCTTGCATATTTCTGTTAAACTTATCCCTAATTATTTTTAATGCTATTTCAATGGAGTTTTTTTTTTTAAGTTTATTTCTAATTTATCACTTCTCATATGTAAAACTTAAGCTGATTTTTGCTATGTTGAGCCTGTATCCCAAGACCACTTATTAGTTTTGGTACATTTTATTTTGTAGATTCCTTTAGGTTTTCTTTTAAGATGACCATGTCCACTCTACAGTTTTATTTCATTCTTTCCAATCTTTATGTGTTTTATTAATTTTTTCTGAACTTATTGAGTTGGCTAGGGATTTTGGTTCAATATTATCAAGAAGTAGGGAAGAATAGACATCTTGTTTGTCCCTGATCTTGGCTAATAATCACTGATCCTTACACATTTGAATATAATATTAGCTGCAGRTTTTCATAAATATCTTTGAACAAGTGTAGAAACTTTTCTCCTATTCCTAGTTTTCAGAGTTTTTTAATCATAACTTGTGTCAAAGGCCAACAATATCATATTTATATAGTGAAATATATTGATTGATTTTTAAATGTTAAACCAACCTAGCCATTCCTGGAATGACTCACTCTTGGGGATACACACACACACACACACACACACACATATATATATATATATATATACACACATATATTATTTAATATATTTTTATATATTGTATTTGGTTTGTTAAATTCTGTTCAAATTTTTGCATTCATTTTTCAGAATGGATGTTGATTTATAGTTACATTCTCTTGTGATGTTTTTGTCTAATTTTGTTACCTGAATGGTCCTTGAATTTGTAAGACTAAGATCTAAAGGGATTTGGGAATTAGTCTTTCCTCCATTATTTTCTGAAAACATGTGCATAGAATTAGTATGATTTTTTTTAAAACGTGTTATAGAATCCACCAGTGGAGCCATTCAGTCCTGGAGATACCTCTGTGGGAAGATTTTTAAATTAAAAATTCAATCTTTGATTGATATAGAGGATTCAGGTCTTCCTATTTTTTGAGTTAAATTTGGTATTTTCTGATTATAAGGGAATTGTTCATTTTATATAGAACATTAAATGTAAATAGTCCCTGTTTATCTTAGGGGATCTGTTCCAAGACCCTCAGCAGATGCCTGAAACTATGGATCAAACCAAATCCTATATGTAATAAGACTTTTCATATATATATATATATATATATATATATATAGAGAGAGAGAGAGAGAGAGAGAGAGAGTAAAGTTTAATTTATAAATTAGACACAGTATGAAATTAACAATAATTCTACTACTAATAAAATACTTTTAACAATATACCATAATAAAAGATTATGAATGCAGTCCCTATTACCATCAATTATGCAGTCAAGTTTCTCACATTTGACGAAATTGCAGGGGTCAGCACATCCTGAGTGTTATGGATAAGCCTTGCGCTGGCAAAACCACCTTCGTGATCATGGTATCTCCCCTGCCAGGTAAGTATATCATTTTTTAATGAATTCATGAAACCTGGATATTTTCAGCAAATGACCTAATTTGGATTTGAATCTAATTGTTTCTTGATCTYTTTTAGTACTTCACAGTATAATGACTTTAAAGAGTGGAAATAGTTAAACTTTGCTCTTTACAAGTGATTTCTGGATAAACTAATTAGTTATCACCTAGCAGAGATGTTAATTTCGGTGTTCTGTCATTGAATGAGCTAACTAGAATTGGAGAAAAGAATTTCAGTTGTTTGTGGAATTGCAGAAAACATTAAGAGGTTGGCTGCAAGATATGCAAGAGTAGGCTGTCTCTGTATAATGGTAGCTGGACCCCTGTCCGCATCTCCATCTTAGGCTACTTCCCTCACTCAAATGGCTCAGCTGGGTCATCTGAATTCAGTGAAGAATGCCATTTAGGTGTTGGGACTTCTTTTCTAGAACATGACATGTTGATAGTTGAAGAAAATTTCTTCTAGGATTAAGCCTCAATCCCCTAGAATTAAGGTTAAGATTTTTGGAGTATATAATTATGGGTATTACACTAAAATATCTCTACTACTGCCTGTGTGATGATGGTGAAAATCCTTGACTTCCCTGAGCTTCAGTTTTCTCTTTCATAAAATGGGACAATACTGTTATTTAAAAGTTTCTGATCTAGTGTACATATTGGTGGTACACTCATCAAAATTCCTCTTTTATTGTAGAAATTCAACTTTAATTTCCATATGCTCTGTTTTTATAGTTACCTGTGTTCTCTCTCTAGGTCAGTCTTCAGTGGTACCTTCACCATAGTAGACACAGAAGTGAACTRCATAGATGCAGATGTTTGAGTACACTAGATAATAGTGTTTCCGGAAACCACTGGAGATCTGACAGTGTAGGAAGGTGTCAGGGGTCAGAGCAGGGGGTCTGGAGTCAGCTTTGGAAACGACTCTGTGATTTACTATTTCTGTGACCTTGCAGAATTTATTTACTCTCTCGGTGCCGCAGATACCTTATCTTTAAGTTGAGGATGATATGACTATCTTCCTTATTAGGTTGTTAGAGGGATTAAATAAATTTCATAGGCGGTAAAGTGGCTATATCAGCACTAGGCACATTGTCAGATGGTGCAATTGTTAGAGATGATGGTAATAATATCATCTCTATTGTCTGACTATAGTTTTTTTTAAATTTCTTCCCTTAACTATTTCAATGTTGAAAGTTGGTTTTCTTTTCAACAAATTACATATGTGAGAAAGGAATAAGAGAAACCTGAGTGACGTTTTATAGAAATCCTTGACTCTGTTGGCAGGCAAGACTTAAGAATGAAAAAAGGAAGTGACATGTACTAGCAGACTGGACAGGTCTGTGCTAACCATGGGAGAGCATAGCCACCAGCAACAAGTACAGAAATAGGATTGAGTAAAGCTGCTATATTTGAGACAGCTTTACTATTAGTCAAGAAACCCTACCAAGAGGAGAGATAAATGGTCTTTCTTTGCTGGACCTCTTACTACCTCCTAAGAACTGAGAAATGAGGTAAAACGGCTGATAGGCTTTCCTTCATCCCAGAGGAGTTGAGGTTCTCACTCAGCCTGAAGGTCTTGGGCCTCATTCAGTGACTGGCCTTGTGACCCAAGAGAAAACCCAAGTCAACAATGCCTGTGAATATAAGCAGCCCCAGTGGAGGTGTCTACAGCACAGCCAAGGGCCCTCACAGAGTAGGTGCTCTAATGAGCCTTRCAGAGCCACAAATCCTCTCTGAGACTTGGAGGGAAGTCAGAAACCTACGTGGGAATTAATGAACCAAGAAAAACCTCACAGTGGCAGGCTTAAGTCAGAGGCCAGGGCACAGAAACCAGCCGCAGAATTCTGGGAATAAAAAATTTATGGTAATCCTTGGTGAATAGAAATTGAAGCAGAGAATGTTAGACGTTATCTAACCTAAGTTGTCAACAATCCACGGTTGCTCAAATTGTGCTCAAATTGGGTGTTCACACTGACTCAGATCTTAGTCTGAAGATACAGTGCTATGTCACTGCAAATTGCCTTCAAATCTTATTTTCTTTTAGATTTGGAAGCAAATGTAAAAATCCTACCTAAAGTTGTTCATATTGTTTATTGGAGATTTTCTTTCCTTTTCCTTTTGTTGGATAGGAGCTAAATTAAATATCTGTAGGAAAATAATTTTCAAAAATCTACAAGTTAGGCTTCCATGGAGAGGAAACTTGATTACTTAGAAGGACCATCTGCAGTGGGCTTACTTCCATTTGGAAAAAAAAAAAAAAGTATTCAAGATATGTTTTGGATGAGATGRGAATAGATGTGGTAGGAAAAGCAGCAGCCTATTGTGTAGAATAATTTTCTGCTTTATCCTTGTTACTGCCTTATCCTTGTTACTCAAGTTTTATCAGAAAACTGAGGATGAAGTGTTGTATCAAGATTTCTCTGGCAGTGTTGTGGGCARAATAGGTGGGGCAGCTGATGTTGCAGCCATTCATGTGGCACTTGGTATGGCTACTCTTTCAGGTCGGTCCTGCCTTCTGAGCATATTGGAGTGAAGAAAGGTGTATTCACTTATGGTGCTGCCAATAGACAGGATCTATGGCTGCCCTTGGCTCTATTCACCCTTCCCTTGGGTAGAGTTGCCAGGCTACTTTATCTGAAATACTGTGAAGAAGAGCCACATACTCATTAGAATGAACCAGAGCACACGGGCAAAAATCATTTAAAATAGGGACCCTCTTTTCCACTGMAGACTCAAATAGAAATTTAATAACTATAAAATGTTACTGTCATTTTACAGTCACAGAAGGAAAAATAATTTTCAGATATCTTGTCTTTGCTTATTTATTTTTATTATTTTAATTGGTGCATTGTAACTATACATTAGTGGGTTTCATTATGCTATRTTTGTACATGCACATAATACAATTTGATCAATATAATTTTCTATTCATTTCCTTTCACTTCTCCATCCTCCTGATCTTCTTGATCTATTCAGCTGGTCTCTAGAAGGAAAGATTTAAAAATATATAATACTGCTAAGCTGATCAAATATTTGGAGCAAAAATTAGTTTCTTTTTGTTGTTTTTCTTTTTTGGAGATGGGTATTGCTGTATTTCCCAGGCTGAGCTTGAACTCACAATTCCCCCAACCTCATCCTCCCTTGTAGCCAAGATTTCAGGCATCTGTCACTGGGTCCATTAAATACTGTTATCTATGTTAGTCACTATACCAAAAATTAATTTCAAGGGAATTAAATAATCACTGCCRTTAGCTTAAATGCTTACTTGGTGTCCTGTGCATATTTTTAATATTTACAACAACTTTTAGAAGTAGGTATTATCCCAACTTAAGAATAAAGACAAACTGTGTCTCAGAATAGGAGTTGGCCTGACTCAGTGAATAAGGAGCAGGTCTAGGATTCCACTCAGACCATCTTAGTGAAGAACAAACATAGCCTGCRCCTTATTGTCCTTCCCCTATTGAAGCATAGAAAAGGATGAAATTAAGTTATCAGATAGCACTCTTGTGATAGGAAAGAATTTTTGTAGGCATACAGTCACTGAAAAACCAAAGAATAAAATACAATATAAAATCAAGTGCAACATAGAAATATCTAAAATATGTAATTCCAAATTTAAAGCAAATTTGGCAACAGAAAAAAAAATTGGAATATGCATGGCAGTCAAAAGATTATGAGCCTTAAAATATTGTAAACTCTGAAAAMCAAGAGTAAAATCTTATTAGAAAACTAGAAAGAAAAGACATTTTTAGATAAAAAGCAAATGGAGMGTAAGTATGAAAATATATTCAAACACCATGAGTAGCAATTTTTCACTTTCTAGATTGGCAACAATTTGAGGACAAAATACTGTTCAATAGGAGTTTTCATGTACTGCTCCTAGGCTTGTAAATATTTTTAAAAGCTTTTCTGGAAAGTGGTTTAGCAATGGCTATCAAGAGTACAAAGGAGCGCAAATGTTTTGAATAGTTGATGCCACTTCTGGGGATATTTTTCCTATGAAAAGAAGAYTATGTACTAGGTGATGGGATATCAGGTAGAACTATATTTTAGTACAAAATCCATTTATTTATATTTGTCATGTGTAAAAGGCCAAATTATTTTAATCACTCCAACTCTCAGTTTCCTCATTTATAAATTGCAAATGATACTATTACTTGTTATGCTTGAATTCGGGACCCCCCCAAAAGACCACCAGAGACCAAGATCGATGTAAGCACAAAGAGATGTTTATTGTAAGCTAGCTCTGTCCTCCACATGCACACACAGCAACTGGTGACGCTGAGAGGCCCCCAGCCCAGGGTTTGCAGCAGTTTTATACACTCTTTGGGGAAAGCARGGGCTTCACATACATCATAGCATCTCTTAGCAAATCATCACACACCRTGGGAAAATCATAAAACAACTCTAAAACATGATTAGCACATTCACTGGCAAGAAGAAGTCGGGTAAGTGTGATTGGTTAGTACTAGAAGGGGATTCCTTTGAATTGATTGGTTTAAGCCACGAGAGGGAGAGGTGTATGTGCTGAACTACATGGTTTCCCAACATGTTATCAACCACCATAAACTACTGGGAGGGTCATCTGGCATCCCAGGTATTTTCCCTGTCTCATGCTGATTGGTGGTTGCTAGGGGGTTGCTATGGG